AAAATTAAAAGAAAAAAGACAAATAATTTTCTCACTTCAAACTGAACATAAGCCATACATTTATTAAGAGGTTTGGTGGAGAAATATAGAGAAAATAAGGAGGATCTACTTATGATATTTATTGATTTAGAAAAATCATATGATAAAGTTCCAAGAGAAGTGCTATGGAGAGTTCTTGAAAAGAAAGGAGTCAATAATGCTTATATTCAAATCATTAAAGATATGTATGCAGGAGCTATTACTTGTGTTCAAACACAAGCTGGTTTGACCAAGTATTCTTCTATTTTGGTTGGATTACATCAAGGATCAGCCTTAGGCCCATATCTTTTTTTCTTTAGTCATGGATGTTCTCACTAGACATTTGCAAAAGGATGTACCTTGGTGTATGCTTTTTGCTGATGGTATTCTTCTTGTTGATAAGACTAGAGAGGGAGTTGAAGGTAAATTTGAATTATGAAGGTCAACCTTAGAGTCTAAAGGTTTTCACCTGAGCAGATCTAAAACTGAATATATGGAGTGTAATTTTAGTAGTAATAGACATAGTGAGAGGATTATGACTTTGGGCGATCAAGTCATTAATAAGAGCACACGTTTTAGATATTTTAGATCTATTGTTCAGAGTGATAGCGAAATAGATGGGGATATTATCAGCAGAATTCAAGTTAGATGGTTGAAATGGAGGAAGGCATCAGGTTTGTTGTGCGATAGAAAAGTCCCCCTCAACTTAAGGGAAAATTTTATAAGATGGTGATGAGACCTGCAAAGCTTTATGGTTTAGAATGTTGGCCATTAAAAAAGAAGCATAATACTAAGTTAAGTGTTGCAGAGATGAGGATGCTTTGGTGGATGAGTGACTTTACCCTTAGAGATAGGATACGAAATGAGCATATACATGAAAAGATTGGAGTAGCTCCAATGGAAGATAAGAATAAAGAGAGTCGCCTTAGATGGTTTGGTCACATTAAACGGAGGCCTTCCGTTGACCGGTTAGGAAAGTTGAGGTATTAGATTTGACTTATGTTAAGAAAGGTAGAGGTAGACCTAAAAAAACTTGGTTAGAAAATATTAGAAATGATCTTATTTTATTAGATTTAAATGAGAATTTGACTTTTAACATGACACAATGGCGAAAAAGGATTCATGTAGCCGACCTCACATAGTGGGACAAAGGCTTGATGTTGTTGTTGTTGTTATGTGGTTTTTTTCTTTATCCAATTGTAGGGAAGTAAAAGTGTTATTTGCAGTTTTTGCGATAAGTTTGGTGGTTTTCTTTTTTCTGATTTAGGGTTATTTTGTTATTTTAATTAGGTCATCTATGGAAATTCCTATACTATTTTGTAAGTGAAATGCTTTCATGGTTTTGTGTCTCTAACCTAGGTATTGTGCCTCTTCGCGTCAGATGTGTTTGCCGATCACAACTCCAAGTATTGTGCACGGAGATCCTCTTAGTGTCTTCGCGCTCAAAAGTCGGACTCCACGCCTTACTCTTTCAAGTGATGATTACAAATTTGTCTTCTGATCCCACTTCCCCTTAATTCTCCGAGCTTCCACAACCACTGATATGCTTTGTCTGTCAATTTGTAACTTTGATTAAGTTCTAAATGGTCAACAAGAAGAGTTCTGTAAAACTGGAAGCACATGGAAGGTATCTAGAAAATGATTATTTAACTTGGAAACCAAATCGTCAATCTTTATAATTTCATACCATTCATATTTAGTCCTACTCACCATCATAGTAACTTTGCATTATAAAATTAAAGCATATAAATTTAAAATTAAGATTAACCTGCACCAGCTTCTCTAAAAGAAGAAAATAGAGAAAGAATTTTGTAACCATATTTTGAAAAACTGATAACACAGAGGAAGTAGCATCAAACTACAGAAATTTTAATTTAACAGCTTCCATGAAAATGATGCGGGCCTCAGGAAAGAGCATAATATAGTGGCAAAAACCTCTCTAATAAGTATCTTGAGATAGAAAATAGAAAGGATGCAATGCAGCAATCTTAAAGCATAATTACTGCAACTACAGTGCATACCTTTAGATTGATGTACAGCTTTGACAGCCTCAAAGTTTTTGTAGGTATACCCAACAAAGCTTAAATCTTTTGGACTTAGCAACGTCTGCAAACAAAATAATGAATCATGAATGTACCGAAACACCAATACAGAAAACTTGAAGGGGATGATGATGAATGGATTTGTGCTAGAATTTTCTTGCTAAATACATGCATTAACCAAACACCCAATCTAAACATCTAAATGTCAGATCATCAATGTACAGAAAAGAGTGATGGAAAGCATTTTACAAGGGTGAAAAGCTTTCAAAAGCGCATAGCTAAGTTGAAAGATCTTACCTTCCTAGAGAGTACAAAACCTGTCCTTGCTGGAGGAGGATCCAACTGGAGCTTCAAAGCATGACATAAAATCAAACAAAGAAACAACACTGAATAAAATAATTTATCATATGAATTTGATGAAGTGATACACAAGTTTATTATTAAAATTATTATACATAAGACAATCCTTTGAGAGAGTTATGTCTATCCACTTGTTAAATATGATGGATTTGTAGAGAATAACATCAAAATTGCAATACTATGATGCGGAAAAGAATAATAAAAAAATATGCTGAGGTCTACTACACTGCAGTTCTATAAAAGTAGGGACAAATAAGAAATCTTCCATTAATACACTCCAGTGTTAGGAATAACAGTTTCAATTAAATGGGTCTTCTAGGGTTCTCGAGATTAGGTTTTGTGCCTAAGACTTCTCCAGACGAAATTTTTGTGACCAGGATCTCTCCAAAAATAATGCTGATACTGGTTGCCTAATAACGGTCAGGTCTTTGTTCTTTAACATGGACTCCTAAGCAGTACGAGATTGTTGAGCGCATCAATACAGATTTGAATGAAAAAGATAAATGATGTTGGATTGAATGAAATAGAATTTTTTGGTAATTTTTAACAGTATTGTGGTGACTACCATCGCATAAAGAAAGCTGTATGAAGAACACATTGGCAATCCCTGCAATCTCAGAGCTATCACAGTTGAATCACTTATATTAGCGAACTCAAGAAAATGGCGATATACACAAACCATGACAAACATAAACGAGGAAAACAATGCAACCACACAGAAAAAGCGAATTATGCAGGGAAACATCCACCAGTTAGAAATAGGCTATTACATAGATAAATAAAAAATCATCATACTTCATCAAAAGTTTCAAAGTTCCGAGTGTCTAGCTCACTAGTGACCTCAGGTTTAAATGCAGCATCCATCTCATACAGCTTATCCCACTCTACACCTTTAAACCATGGGTGGGCCTGAAAATAAATAGACGGAAACAACATTAGCAAAACCAATTATCTAGATTGCAGTATAAAGAAAAGGTTGGAGTGGGTAGGCGGGTTTCTTGCCTTTATTTGATCAGCCCCCCGGCTACCAATCCTGTGTTCAACATCACAAAGTAGTCTAGAGATGAGATCTTTCGCCTCAGGAGAAATTCTTGCATCCTCTGGAAATTTCAAATGATTTCTCCAGTGTACGATCTGACAATCATCATAAAACAGTGGGATAAGTCAAAAAATTCATCATTCTAACACAAATTAGGGAAGAATGATGCAATGCCTATCTAATTATCTATAAATATGAATGCATGTCCATAACTATAATTAACCCAAGTATTACTTGGCCATTAGTTTAATATGCTAAAAAGTGATCAATAAAGCAGGACAATGAAGATTTGTGTGGCATGCCAATAATATTAAGAATTTGGCCTTGATGGTAATCACAAATTTCTGCTGGCATATTAGTTAGTATGCTAAATTCCTAAAATGTATTTACAATTGATTTTCAGAAACTAAAAAAAAAATAAAAAAATTTATGATACCATGCCGTCATTAAATTTGAAAAAAAAAACATGATGTTTAGCTTTAAATAATATTTTTAAGCTAATAATTTGATTATCACAAAACACTGTATCTTCTGATGAACATGTTCAAAAGACAGTTAAATTTCAGCAGAAACTACTAAAAATGGAACCAATAAAATATTAAAATATATTTTCTATAATGCTTGATATAATGACCTTTATTAGATTTAAATGAAAATTTGACATAATGGAGAAAAAGGATTCATGTCAGTGGCGGAGCCAGAAATTTTATTCAGGAGGGGCCTAAATTAAAATAGTTTTATTTGCTGTCTCATATGGAATGTTAGCATACATTAAGGCTTTGATTAGTTATCCGGTATTTTTTGTAAAAGGTAGTTTTAAAAATGTTAGTTGAGCATAACCGTGTGTGACGGCTTAAAAATCAAGGTTCAATTGAACCGAGTGACCAGATCAAATTTTTAAAAAACTGCACGGTTTAATAATACGATAGTATGGCCGCTGATTTCGAATCAGACCGTTCAAATGATAGAAAACTTTTTATTAAACCGAAAAGTCTCCCTAATTCTATTTAACTATTCAACATCTTCCCGTTCTCGTCTCCATTCCTGAGCCTATTCTCTTTCCCAAGGGGGAGCCATTGCATGAGACGAAGTCGTTGCTGGTGTTATTAATTGTTGCCAGCCTCGACCACACCCGACGCTTTGCAAAATTGATCGCCTCTGCTACTAAAACCTGTAATATAAGATTTATTTAATAAGGAAAAAAATCTTCTATTACTTGCTTGAGATTTCGAGCATCTATTTTTTTTTTATATTTTTTGAATTTACTATAAAACTGATACTATCAAGGAATGTTTATATTCAAATCATTAAAGATATGTATGCAGGAGCTATTACTTTTGTTCAAACACAAGGTGGTTTGACCAAGTATTTCCCTATTTCAGTTGGGTTACATCAAGGATTAGCCTTAAGCCCATATCTTTTTGCTTTAGTCATGGATGTTCTCACTAGACATTTGCAAGAGGATGTACCTTGGTCTATGCTTTTTACTGATGATATTCTTCTTGTTGATAAGACTAGAGAGGGAGTTGAAGGTAAACTTGAATTATGGAGGTCAACCTTAGAGTCTAAAGGTTTTCGCTTGAGTAGATCTAAAACGGAATATATGGAGTGTAATTTTAGTAGTAATAGACCTAGTGAGGGGATTGTGACTTTGGGCGATTAAGTCATTAATAAGAGTACATGTTTTAGATATCTTGGATCTATTTTTCAGAGTGATGGTGAAATAGATGGGGATTTTATCAGCAGAATTCAAATTGGATGGTTGAAGTGGAGGAATGCATCGGGCTTATTGTGTGATAGAAAAGTACATCTCAAACTTAAGGGAAAATTCTATAAGATGGTGGTGAGACCGGCAATGTTTTATGGTGCCCAATGTTGGCCATTAAAAGAGAAGCATAATACTAAGCTAAGTGTGGCAGAGATGAGGAATGCTTAGGTGGATGAGTGGCTTTACCCTTAGAGATAGGATACGAAATGAGCATATACGTGAAAAGGTTGGAGTAGCTCCAGTAGAAAATAAAATTAGAAAGAGTCGCCTTAGATGGTTTGGTCACATAAAACGGCGGCCTTCCGATTACCCGGTTAGGAGAGTAGAGGTATTAGATTTGACTTATGTTAAGAAAGGTAGAGGCAGACTTAAAAAAGACTTGGTTAGAAAATATTAGGAATGACCTTTCTTTATTAGATTTAAACGAGAATTTGACTTTTAATAGGACACAATGGAGGAAAAGGATTCATGTAGCCGACCCCACGCAATGGGATAAATGCTTGATGTTGTTGCTGTTGTTGTACTGTTGTTGTACTGTAAAACTGATACTGATTGTGATTTCACATTGCTTCAATTGTTGGGCTATTAATGAAATTTCTAAGAAATGATTTTCACATTACTCAACTGGACAAAATTATTAAAAATAAATTCACTGATCTCTTTGCACAGTTGTTTCCTTGGCTTAGAAAATCGAGTGATTTGCTTGTTTCTGTAAATAGTAGCTTAATCAAGCTACTCTGCTTGGGAGAAAATGCAACCAGGTGTAGTGAAGTGTATAGAAATAGCAGATAAATTGAAGCATACTATTTATCTCCTTTTAATTTCTCAATTTATATGCTGTTTTTTTTAGGGGGGGCACGTGCCCCCCTGCCCATGATTGATGTAGCCGACTCCACGTAGTGGAATAAAGGCTTGATGTTATTATTATTGTTGCTAATATAAAAAACTAAACAAAAAATGATACCGATATTTGATTGATAATGTATGAGGAAAGTGTAAAAGAAGGTTTCAAAACAGAAATGATATCACATGATAAATTATTTAAGACTATCTCAAAGGTTGAGGTTAATACTCAAAATAAAAGCTTCGATTGCTTTTAATAAACTTTTTATAATACAAAGTCTTTTGTTTTCAGATATCAGTTAAAAAAGTTTTGATAGAACAAAAATTATCATACATCCGAGCAGGATGGATACAAAAAGAGATTAAAAAGAAACTTACAAATAAAGCCATGTACCCCATAGTGTCAACTTATAAAACATCACACAAGAATATGGGCAGTTTAAAAATGATAGCCAACAAATAAACATTAATCAACATTGAGGACGAAGCAAAGTTTTCTTTAAGATACTGACACATATTCCTTAACAGCAATATTCCACAAGCATCAAAGCTCTGGTTCATGAGGGCATCAATCATAACAAGCCCATACAAATCGAAAAGTGCGGCATCAGTCATAACAAACCCAACCAAATTGAAAAGTTAATAAGCACATATCAAGGAGAAACTGCAGCTGAAAAGATGAAGTGCTACATCATAGATTCAGGATTTGTTTTAGTGGAGAAACATAATCGCCTAAGAATTCGAATAAGAAGAGAGAAGAAAAAAAAGGGAGACCGTATAACCGAATTATATTCCCTTGTTTTATGTAAAAAAACAAAAAGAGAATATGTACATAAACAGGGGGATAAGTAGAAACGAAATAAATAAATATACAAACTAGTCTTTATTTCTGGAATCCAAAATTAACTATGCAACCAAAAAAGAATGTTGTTGTCAATAGATTATTGGATTGTTGTAGATGGAAAGTTTGTTGTCAATGAATTGTTGCAAATAGAAAGCTATTGTTCACAATTTTTTAGATTATTGTAGATGGAAAGGTGATGTGCATGGATTGTTGAGATTCTATGATGCACCGATACTTCTCCTCAAAGAGGCGTGCAATGTCCGACACGTATCCGACACGACACGCGTCTGACACTTCTCCAACATGTGTCAGACAAGTCGGAATCGTGTCCGATTAAAATAATATTAAATATAAATTGGACACGTGTGTCCGACATGTGTATCTTAAACATTTTATAAATTTTTAAAAAATATAATTTCTTGTATTTAAAATTTTTTATTTATTTAAAATATAAAAACAAAATTTATTATTTCTTATCCACAACATCGCCTGCACTTAATACCCTATTCATCGAATATTCTAATTTTTATTTCTCTTTGGCGAGTTATAATATTTATTTCACAACAATGTCTGATATCATCTCAACATCTACTACTGATGTCGTTACAATACCAACATTTCCAAATGATCTCCATATCAAAGTCTGACGCTATCTTTACATTGATGCTCAATGCTAGCAATTTTTACACCCACAACATCAATGATAAACGCCCTTTAAACATTGACGCCCAATATTTACTGCATAACATCAATGCTCAACTCTCGACAGCGTTGTCATCTCCTATCTCGATGAATGATAAACGACATCGACGTCTGACTCTCGATATCCTAATATTAATCATTTTATGCACAAATTCTCGTTAAATGATTTATTGTTTCTAAATTATTTTTAAAATTATATTTATTCAATTTTAATACTATTTTTAAAATATAAAAACTATAATATCGTGTCCAACCCGTGTCCGTGTCCGATATTTTCAATAATTGACGTGTCTCATGTTCGTGTCGTGTCATGTCCGTTTTGTCGTGTCCGTGACTGTGTATTATAAATTGTTATAGATGGAAAACTGATGGTTATTATAGATGGAAAAATACTAGTAAAATTTTTAGGATTATTTCAATACTTTTAAGCTGGGTTGTATATATTGATCATGATTAGTTGATTAATTTATCAAAACTCATTCTTGGTACAACATTGATAAGGATATTTGAAGTTTGAGAGTTTATTAAATACAATTTAGTTGGGCTACTCCATCTTCAAATTTATTCTAAGATGAAATATAGGTCCATCTTAGTGCATTTAGTTTTGTCAAGGTCGACATAATTTTTTGCACTACTTACAGTAGTTTGTTTGCAACAACACACTCCTAAATATTTTTTCATTTGACAATTTAGTTTTTTCTAATAATCTATTTAATCACATTCCTTACAAATACCAAATGCCATTGCCATATATTCAGGTTCAGGATTTCTTGAGATCACAAATTATTTCTTGCTTCTCCATGTAACTAGATTTTCCCATACATAAGTATAACAACAAGAGGAAGATCTTTGGTTTGATAGATCTCCAATCCAATCAACATCTATAAGAATTTCAATTTTCTACTTGATTATTTTTTATAAAACAAGCATTTTCTTAA